CTTACAAAAGGGACATTAGAGTTCAAAGCGCTATTTGACAGTATAACTTCTATTCTGTATTCAGTGTTTAACTGTTTTAACTTCTAGCAAAGCAAATTATTACAGGTACGAGTATTAAAAGAAAATATTTATTTGATTCATGAGAAACGAATGTTTTGAACAAAAACAGCTAGTGTAGTATAACCAAATAATCATTTAATGCAAAAAGGTTGGAATGCATCCAGTGAGGAAACAGATGACGTACGTATTTACTTGAAAGCCTACCTCAGAAAACTTAAAAATCTCCAGCGAAAATAAACTTTCAGAGCTGGTACCTGCAGGGGGAGCTCTGACTATTAAATCCGAAGCACTGAAATGCAAACGTGGTTGGCCATGGGAATCGTAACGACGATTCATGATGCAATCACCATTACATAAAATTTCATTCCCAATGGAGTCTGATCGTGTGGCACCACAAACTTAAACTGGATAAAAAGTCTCCCCTCAGCAAACAATTTGCATACTGTTAAAATAATACATTTTTATGGGGTACTTTTGGATTCCACTCCTCAGACACCTATATCTTGTCATGCATAACTGTCACAGAAATGGTTTACAAGTGATAACGTCACCGCTGTTTATAGCGCCCTGCTTTAACTGACATGTATAACTGGATAGTTTTATTTGCCAGCATACTCAGCTAAGCAGCACAGTTAAAAGATGTATAAAGGTCTTTGGAACAAATTACCAGCTAACAATTTTAAAACGTCAGTCTGATACTGTTGACTTTTAAACTTGCTTGGTGCAATTAAATTTATAGATTGGGCTTAAGACTGCTGAATTATAATGTCAAGTTGCTTAACCAAAGCTGCATGTTATTTACCACCAATCTATCATTATACTCTAGTTAAATTTTTCATTCTTGCTATAATTCCAGCCATTTTTTAGACTTTTTTTCTACATACAGTACATGTTGTGCCTTTTTTGCGTCGTCCCTCTGTCTTTACATCCAAATGGCAGTCATGCTTTCCAGAACTCTACCTCCCAGAAGGTCACAGTTGAGTCAAGTTACTAATCAACCTGTGATTGGACAGTTGATGAGATAAAACCAGGAAGTAACCAGGAAGGAGGGGGGTGATGGACAGTAGAGGGGCATTGAGTGGGCTGCAGTGTGGTCAGGCTCAGCAGTGCAATATAAGTTTGCTCTTATTTTCTTTTGCTCCTTTTTGCTAAAGTTTTACAGTTGCAGTTGACTGAACTTGAGTTGAGTGTGTCTATATATATATATATATATAACTCTTCTGAAATTGACCTCCATTAATATTTGATGGCTTTTATGGTACAGGTGGTAATCGCCTGTCGGTGTGCTCCCGGCCAGCGGGTCAGGCGGTTCCGTCATCTCCTGGGGAGTCTCCTTTTAATAGCGGCGCCACACGTAGCTTTCACTTTGCTTCCCGTGGGGACTTGGAAGCAGGCATATTTACAGGCATAAAGCTGAGATGTTTCCTGCTGCTGAGGGGCTGTGATGAAGTCGAGCTCAAGTAAAAAAATAAAATAATAATAATAAACGTGGATAACTTTAACAACAGAGGGGAGCAGACAGAGTTCATCTCGGCGTGGAGCCGGGCCCCGTCCGGAGGCCGATCCAGTACCTTAACGATGCAGGGGATGGTGGCCGAGGGCTTCTCTAGTAGAAGAATCTGTAATCACCTATACCTGTGGCCAACCAGCACCTAACAAGGAGACAGAAGGGAGGGAAATTCCCTCCCCCTGCCCCCACGGCGGGGCAGCATAGGGCTGTGACGCTTAATTAGCGATGGTCCGGTGATGCAAAGCTCTGCATTTCCCTGGTCTAATGAAAGTAAACCGCAGCCCAGTCAGCTCTGGCCCGGCGGACGGGACGTAGCCAGTGACCTTTCTTGGCTGCAGATTCCCCTCGTATTTCCAGTCTTAATGATGCCCGCTAATGCCCCGCGGTGCTAATTGTGATGTGTGGCACGCCGCTGAGGGGCGCGTCCATGAGTGACAGAAACAAGTAGCTGGGACGATCTCGTAAGAGAATGTGAAACGAAGGCAATCTAATATAAAAAGCTGATTTGACAGTGATTATTTCAAACGGCAATAACTGAACTACTCCAAAGTTTTGATTAACTCTATATTATATTCTGCAAACGGCACTACATAAAATAATAAGCAAACTTTCTCATTCCATGGTGGTTGAATCCCTGTTCAAGCTGAGTTCCAGTAGGACCAGTCAGTAATTCTGTCATTAGACTCACCCCCATTACTGTTTTCGCCAAAGTAACGCAAGAATGTAACACCACAAAGCTGTTACCCCTCTTATTTTGGCAGACTTCGGGGGCATAGTTAGAAATCTCACCTTCAGCCTCTGGCTAGGGTTGCCACTTTGAATCTGAGAAAATATAGGCCCTATATGATATACAGAGTTTAAGCAAGTGTGACTGGATCCCCACAGTAAAATGAGGACTATGTCCCCTGCGTGTTTAAATTATGATTTGTTGTATTCAGGGCCCCCAGAAAAGTGTGGGGCCCACTGTATCTGCCAGGGTATCCATGCTCCTCTGATGCCCCCCTGGCAGCAGTTAATGCAATACAAGGCTCTGTGCAGTGGACATGCCTTCCAGCTCGGTGCAGTGGACATGCCTTCCAGCTCGGTGCAGTGGACATATCTTCCAGCTCGGTGCAGTGGACATATCTTCCAGCTCGGTGCAGTGGACATGCTGACTTCATCAGCTCAGGCTGACCCCTCTGTCCCCAAAACAGCTTGGCAGCCCCTTTGCATCCCCGATATGGCCGGACTGCAGTCGTCCGCAATCACCAAGTACCCAGCCGGTCCGTTCACCAACGCCACGGCTAAAACGTTGTCGGATTCTCGCCCAAGGACCGCGGTCCGTGGCGCACGCTGACTACGGCCGCATGCCAGACGGGAATTTGGCAAGCGGACGGCGATATTCAGCGGGATGTGTTATGAACCAAATCAACAACAGGTTGATCGCTAGAGTAAGGCGGAGACAGTAGTTGGCAGCGTAGCCGTGTGAAATCTGTGTCTGAAATGGGAGCAAATAAACAAGCCTGCGATCATATGCCTTAAGTGGGATTCCCCGCACCCATGTTTGGTCCAAGAGCTCATGTGTTTATCCACAAAAAGCTAGCCGTGAAGAGAAGGTATTCTGAGCGACGGCCCACACGGCAGGATGACGGCACCGGTGCACAGCACATAATGTTGACAAGATCTGATTTAAAAGGAAGACAAGAGCAGAAATATACAGGAGCTTCGCAACTTGGATGTTTTTGTGGGTTTAGTAAGGTAACGCAGTGTCTCCTGGGTTAGCATGCTAGGTAACACAGTGTCTCCTGGGTTAGCATACTAGGTAACGCAGTGTCTCCTGGGTTAGCATACTAGGTAATGCAGTGTCTCCTGGGTTAGCATGCTAGGTAACGCAGTGTCTCCTGGGTTAGCATACTAGGTAATGCAGTGTCTCCTGGGTTAGCATACTAGGTAACGCAGTGTCTCCTGGGTTAGCATACTAGGTAACGCAGTGTCTCCTGGGTTATCATGCTAGGTAACGCAGTGTCTCCTGGGTTAGCATGCTAGGTAACGCAGTGTCTCCTGGGTTAGCATGCTAGGTAACACATCTCGAGTTGCGGGTTTGAATTCCATCCCTGGTTCTGCGTGGAATTTACATGTTCCTGCTGTATCTGCGCAGTTCCCTTTTGAAAGCCTGGAATGCCTTCCCAACCGCGACCCATGATCGGCATAAAAGGTTTGTGCCAAAAGGTCCATATACCTATGTTCATGTCCCCACAAAGTCATAAGCGGCCCTGGTCGCTTCACGCGGTGTGTGTGCGTCATGATGGCCCCCATATTCCATGTCGACATCTTATAAATGGCCCTCTCGTGTTTTGACAAGTCATGTCTTTCCAAACAGTTCTGAGCAAACTCAGTGAGCTGCATCTGTGTGCTTCGCTGTCAATTTTTCAACTTTTCTTTTCCTAACAAACCGAAACTCTGTGACGCACATCTTTATTTGTCAAGCCTTAGCGTGAACCCCCCCCCCCGAAAAAAAAACACCTCCCTCCCAAATTCTTAGTTCCAAATTCAATACGGTAAAATATATTTGTGAAGAGAAGAACATAGCCACATAACTAGACCGACCTCACTGTAACAAGCCTGCCTTGTGTTTACCCATGACAGCTGAATGACGTTTTGCAAACAAGTAAAATTCTATTTGAGGCAAATCGCTGATGTTCAAAGCGGTACATTATGAATAAGAATTATTAAAAAAAAAAAAAAAAAAACTGGTCTGTATATCCACAGCTCACGGGCCAATGAGGATTTCCTCTGGTTTCATCATGACGACGTTCCAATGGCTCTTCGCGTACTCCATGGCTGTCATGTTGCAGCCCTATTGACACACTTGTGATAGATATGTTGTTTGCCACTTCATGTTTTCCCTAATCCTTTCTTTTTCTCTCATTTTTTTAACCTATATTCATTCCAGAGTATATTCCCTGGTTGCGCTGGGAATTCTGAATTGAATAGAAACCTTTTTAGATCAGTAGCAATTTTTTTTTTTATCCGAAGAAAGTGGACTTAATAGAAATGTCCTGTTTTATGAATAATTTTACAGAGAACTCTGCCACACAGCCCAAACTCATATTTGGGTCTTCATTATCTGCGTTCTGGCCCTTACTCATCCTCTTTGGCCCCATTATCTCCTGAAACCCATCATTTCTTTCCTTCACCCACCCTTTCACTTCCCATCGCTGCTCTCGGTGCCTTTCTATGTCTTTACCTTGCTGTAGGGGGAGGGGGGCAGGATCTTGACAAGCAGGTGGCACCTTTCTCTGGAAAAATAATGACATGCGTGACATTCCCATGCAGTGGAATGATTTAGGATGCACAGAGGCTAGTTGACGATTTTGTGTGTGTGTGTGTGTGTGTGTGTTGAAAAGTTTGGCTGCCTAGGAACACTAGACACAAGAAAAGACACAAATAGGTAGAGCAAAAAACAAGGGAAGGATCCTTTATTGAAAATACCAAGATCCAAAGGAGAGGATGAAATTCAAATATAATGACAGTGAAATTCAAAGTAAACCGTTTTCTTTTTTGCCAATGCCTATGGAACAAAATGAAACGGATAAAAACAAAGGTGGTAAACAGGAGGCCCAGGATTCCTGCTGTGGGAAATATTCAGAGCCAGCAGGAAGCCGGCTAGGGTGGAACACACGATTGACTTCAGGCGGACCTGCGTTTGGCTTTTAGTTTGCACAAAAGATGCCCATGAAAACCATTAATATTGCTCTGAGCGAGAGAAAGTAATGAGTCTAAATATTCCTGGCTGTAATTCAGGTGGAACAATTATTAGCTAATGTGAATTGTGTTTTTTTTTTTCCATAATTCCTTTATGTCATAAAAAGCCATTCAAATAACATGTTTTACAAGCTCACTCAAAAGCTTACATTTACAGTTCGGCTGCTATAAAATCAACATGAGGTGAAGCCCACATCACAGACATAATAGTAACCAAAGGAGCAGAAAACTGTAGGGATGTTCTGAAACAGAAAATCATTATTAGTTTACTGATGATACTGCTCTCTGAGCTGAATTACACTGTATACAGTGCTATACTTCACTGCCCGTTGTTCAGAAGTTGCACTTTTTCAAATATCAGTCTGTAAGCTTCTGGTTGCTGCCTACAGCCCAACCGGAAAAGTGAGTTGGCCGTTAATGGCCCCCGTTGAATGTTGTTGCAGCCTATGAGCTAAGATGAATGGCCTCAGGGTAGCCTGACTGTCCCTGAATGCCCATTTCATGTCTGTTGCCGACAGAATTGAGTCATAGTGGCCTGGTGTTGAGTAATGCGACAACCAGTGTAAAGTTCTGCCATCACATTATTCTTACACAGATTTACATTGTTTCCTAACACCGCCGCGCGACAGTAAGGAAAACGAGAACCTGCTTTACTTGCTGTGCTGCGAGGTTAACCATTTATTTTCAGGCAGCAGCGACATCCCGCTCTGCCCAGGCGGCCCATAATGCAGTGCGGCGGACCTTGGTGCTGAAATGTGGAGCATCTTCCAGAGGAGCATCTCGCCCCACCGATCACGCTGACCTCTCACCGTGTGTTTAGTGGCTTTCATCCCTACATGAGCCCAGACTACCATCACGTAGGAATAAAAAGCCATAGGACACAGCGGGAGATGTGGGCAAAGGGGAGGATGGAGAGGGCGGCCAGGGCCCCCGCAGGCAAATCACTTAGCCGCGTGAGACGAGGGGCAGTGGGAGGAGAGGCTCCAAGGCCAAGAGTAAAGCAGGAGAACGTAAGGGTAGGGAAGGAGCAGATGGTAGGAGCAAGACTGATGGAGACACAGAAGCTGGGCAGGGGGAGAAGTACGGGGTAAGACGAGAAGCAGATCCTAATGCAGAGCATAAGAGGAAACGGCTAGGAAACATGGTGAGAGGCCACAGGGGAGCATTCCTGGGAGAGATGCACTATAGTCACTGTGGAGTGAGGAGCCGAAGGGGTCTGTAATATTTGGAAGATCCCAGCAAGCTGACGCTCCCCCAAAAGGCGTTCCACTCCGACCACCTCCCGGAAGAACTTTGGCTGAAGAGGTGGGGCTTGGTGAGAGCGGTCCGATGCTGCACCTCCAGAAACTTGGTGCTGAATAGGGGAGGGGGCTGGGTGGGGGAGAATTGGGGGGG